GAAAGCACTGTATCGAACGGTTCAATATCGATACGAATATCGTTGCACCCCTAATAATTTGATAAAGGGAGTCTTGCAGAAGTTGTTTTATGTACAACTCATTTTTAAAGCCACTTTCTTTTTCCCTTTTCCCCCTTTTTTGTTGTTGTTGATTCTTCTCTTCTGCTCTGTAGTTTGTGAAGTTGAGTCAGATGGAATGGGCTGCCTCTCCGACATGTTTGCTGTTTACTGTGTGCAAAGTTTTAAGCTTGCAATGGCATCACTGAACGAAACCGACTGGTGCGTTTGGAGTAAGGTAAACAGGTAAGTAGGGTGCATTTATATTTAAAATGAATGTTTTTTGTTTAAATGCCAATTTCTAATTTACTTTTCATGTTCTCCTTCTATTCAGTTGGTACAGCAACCTAAGCATGTGTACAGAAGACATATGTGACTTATACTTCATCCCATGGCCCAACCGTGTGGTGGAACAGACCTTTTTGGACATTCATTCCCTTTTTTTCAAGGATTGTCCCACAGATGAGCTAAGTGACCCACCACCTGCCATCATGTTTGCTTTGGTCATCACGCCCATCTGCCTGATCCCTGTCATGGTTAGCCTGGTGGTACTTAAGACCAAAAATGGGGATGGCAACTCCTGATAACCTAGAATCTCTGCTCAGCTATGTTCTCTCTTTTTCCCTAACCTTGTTTACAGACTGCTCATACACTTTCATCTCAGTAGAGACTGAATCTTTAGATCTTCTGCACTTCACAACTTAAATTAGCCACATAGACATGGTTGGCACTATCTCAGAGATAATGTTCTGTGGCATCACAGCTGTTTCTCTTAGGTGACATACTTCTTAATACAGACAAACACTGTCAGAAACTATGTTCTGTACTATACTGTATCTCATTTACTGTGACAAAAATGTTTTGTTTTAAACCACTTGACACTAGAGTTGGCCATTGCTTGAAGCATTGGTCATCTCTTGTTTGCTCACAGTATTTCATTTATACTGGAGAACCCAATATTCGTGATTAGCCTGACGAAAGCTCCGGAGCTTGTTAAAGTAGAAACAAAATTTGTATTGACACTTTGTTTTATGCAAGAGACTCGGGCTGATGAAAGACAAGGTAAAGTTTATTACTGAGCTGCTTTTGCATTCATAGACAATGTTTTGTTAGTTTTTTTGCTGTTAAACTTTGAGCCTAAAAATATAAAATATATTTATGAAGACAGCATTTAGAAACTAAATGATTTTTAATTCTGAAAAGGAGAAAGATGTTCATATCTGATCTTTGACAAAGGTCCTAAACACTCAATAGTGTGTATGTGTAGGGAGGAGAAGAAGTTAACCATATGCTTGGATCTAGTTATTCAAGTCACAGCACACAAATTGTTCAAAGGGTCGAGGCCTGTTTTTATTAACTGTAAGTAATCTTCATACTCATGTGATGAGAAGCTGGTTAAAAGAAAATCGTATCTCCCTCCAGACAAAAGACATTTTAAGTTGCCTGCACAGAATTGTGACAAACACTGAACAATGACAAAAAGACAAAAGTCTTATCTTTAGCCCTGAATGACAATAAAGCCACTATAAGTGCTTTCAGATTTAGAACAAAAATGTGTATTTATATACTCTTATGTATTTCTGCTATTGTCAGGACTTCATGGACTTACTGTGAAAGTACATCCTGCCTGCTCTCATGCCATGAACTGTATGCATTTTTATTTTTTATATTTTAAACCAATAAATCTACAGTTGTATGCTTACTATGACTTGTAAATACAGTACCATTCTTGTGAAATTACCCTTTCACCTTTGCAGCTATTTGATTAAACACCCTTTTCCCTTGTGTGTAAGGCAGATGGTCTTGCTTTTTGCTCTAGTCAGTGTTTCACTGTCTCTTTAGTGATCAGTATATTGCAGTGCAGTTGCTGTGCTCTTCAAGTGCTGAGGTAGTGAAGGAAGCAGTGACAACAGTCATGTATCACGCCCTCATCTGGCACACAAAACACTACAGGGTGGGCCTGCATTTGTGTGTGCGTCTATGTGTGTGTGTTTGGCAGGACTGGGTGGGAAAATGTGTTTAGTGACCTTCTTCCTCTCTAGATGTCGGGTCATTCTCACCCTCCCCACCCCCTTCTGATCTCATCCAACTTTGCGTTACGTCTTATAGTTAGAGCCAGGAAATACATTTTCTGGTGCCATTGCGCAAGATGAGACTCTGCAATCAACATCAGTCATGTTTTATAAATCACAAAATATTAACATACATTCTATACACAAAGGGCCAATAGTTGTACATGAGCTTTAAAATGTTTCAGGAAAGAAATTTTGCCCTCTGGTGGTTCTATTAAAAACTGACAAACAGACATAAACAAGTAAATTTTGAACACAGACACCACTATCAAAACAACACAAGAAAAAACAAAGAAAGGAAAAAAACACTGATTTTTTTCATGAAAATACTTAAGCACAAAAGTCCTGTACACAGTGGAGCCTGTTAATAATCTTTTCTTCATCTCTACTATCACAGCAATGCAAGGCTTGACAGTATTTGGCTCTGTTAACCCATTGTTGGGTTTTTAATCCTTTGTTTCTGGAACAGCATGTTTTGGCAAATGGGCACAATTAAGTGCATGGAACTACATACAAGTGCACTAAAGGCACCACCTGCCCAATGATCAATATCATTGGGCAATGAAGCTGCTATTTAATGGCTTAAAACAGTAATAAAAATACCACAAACAAGCCAAACCATATAAACAAATAGATATATGTAGTGCTTGCAAGGTAATGTGAAGGGGACCAAATGGGAAAAAACAGTCATTGCTCAGAGCTCTGAATATATTTCTTTTACACATACAGAGGTTTAACACGCTCACCAGTGACACATCTAAAAAAATGACCAATGCAGCTGCTCAGAAAACCCCTCCTTAAATAGGTGCAGGTCATACCACCACCAATAAAATTTAAAAGATTTCCCCTGACACAGTCCAGCTACAAAAGACAAATACTGTAGTTATTTTAACAGAGCTCACATATATCTGACTACAAACACACTCCAGCTAAATAATATGCAAACTAACTAAATCAAACCAAATTGAAGATTCAGCCCGATCCCACCCTCAGCTCTCATCTGATGGTTTAACCCACTAGCAGTGGATAATTGGAGAACTCCTTTCAGGTGAGCATCATTAGGCCGTAATCGTGTGTGCACTCCATGAATCAGGCCTTCAGGAAGCTGACCTCAAAAAAGAGAGTGAGTGGTTAATGGACTTCAAAACAAAAGCATAACAAAACCAAAACTTCCTGGAAGACATTGTGGGTGTCTCACTTTAGTAAGGGAGATGCTTCCCATCACATCAATAAAACAAAGAAAAATAGTGACATACTTCTGAATGTTTCTATTTTTAGAGGCATGTACATATTAAATATGTATCAACAACACATGTTCTCTGAGGGATCTGGGATTGGTTTGTAGTAGCGCCACGAACTATCATTTCAACAGGAATCGTTTCAAGTGTATGAGGTCAATAGTTTCTTCTCCAACCTCTTAGATATACCACAGTACTATTAGATAATATGCTGAGTATAAATCGGCTGATCCAAATGCATTTGCATAGGGACCCTGTTTTGAGTTGAAAAATTTAAGTAAAAAAAATGCAATGATTTGATTGCAATATTTAAAGAAACATATTAGCTCATTTTGACTTTTCAAAAAGAGTTTACACTTAAAAAGGAACACTTGACCTAACTTAGCTAATAGGCTCATCTCTACCTTTCCTTTTGTTTCTAAAATTATTTAAAGAGTAGTTGTGAAACAGTTAACTAATCTGCAGAGAAACGGTTAATTTGAAGAGTTTCAGACAGCATTAGTAAGGTTATGAATACTCTTCTTATGATAATGGAGTCATCTCTATGCTTGTCGTGCTAGACCTCAGTGCAGTTTGATACAATCGATCACAATAGTTTACTGCAGAAATCGTAGTTGTAGTGGGTTGAATCATATGTATCGAATAGACTCTAATTTGTTAATGCGCATGAGGAGTGTTGTTCACACACTAAGGTTAATTACGGAGTTCCACAAGGTTCTGTGCAGGGACCAATTCTATTTATATTATACTTTCCTCGGCAGTACTATTAGAAGACACGGCATACATATTCATTGCTATGTAGAAGATACCCAGCTTTATCCATCCATGAAGCCAGAGGAAACACACAACAACTAGTTAAACTACAGGAATGTTTCAAAGACAAAAGACCTGGGTGACACTAATCTCCGCTTCTAAATTCAAATAAAACTTGACCTTAGAAATCATAGAAACATGGTGTCCAACCAGATACCTGCTCTGTATGGCATTACCTCAGCTCTAGGATATGTTCTTAAATATGCAAATTAAACAAATATGTAGAAGGACTGCCTTCTTGCATTTTGCGCAAAATGTCTAAAAATAGAAATATCCTATCCTTGAGTGATTCTGAAAACCTAGTTTATGCATTTATTACTTCTAGGTTGGATTGTTGCAATTCATTATTATCAGGGAGTTCTAAAGGCTCATTGAAAAGCCTTTAGTTGATACAGAATGCAGCATATACTGCCTTCAGACAACTGGTGTTGTGATTTGGCACTATATGCAGTGCCAAGTCACCAAATTTTTATATAGTGCCAAATCACCAAATATGTGATGTGGCACTATATAAAATTACCTGAATTGCACTGAAATCCCGAAATGGGATGGGACCATATGTTAATCTAAAACCTGTATATATCTTTCAGCACTGAAGGTGTCTTTCCAGATGTGTGAGCTACTAATTCCACCCCTATACATTCAGAAATTACTATACATATCTACCCATCTTTACTTCTGAGAAATTCTTCCTCTCTAAAATGCTCTTTTTATACCCAATCATGTTAGTCGCATGTTTCCAATTCACCTAATTAGCTGCAAGATGTTCCTCCAGCTGATTCTTTTTAGTACCATTTACTTTCCCAGAACCTTTTGCCATTGTTCCAACTTTCTCTAAACATGTTCCTGTACTTAAAAATTAGCTAATATTTTTTTTTAATGAAATTGTAAAATCTCCCAGTTTAAACCAAGTTTTCTGTGTTCCATTGTGAATGAACTCTTGTTTTAAGATATTTTCAAATAATTACATTCTGATTGCATTTAGATTTTACAGAGCATAAAATGTAAACAGCCTTTTTATCAAACCTAACCTTGTTTTGGAATTCGTTTCTAGTTAAACTAATTCTCATAGAAAAGCCATGAACACACCAACATGTATTTCTGAAATAAACTTTTTAGAGTAAAAAAAAGATACACTGCCCCCCATTCTCTCACTAGGAGGGACCAGTGAGCCTCAGCTGTGCACCTGGTTGACGGTGTTGAGTTTTGGCTCTTTGTTAGGTGCTTCTGGATCATCTCACTATGGGAACCCATGACTGCAATACCCCAGTGATCTGGCAGTGTGGTTGGAATGAGGGCATGTTAGGGCATCTATCAACTGCTGCAGGCTTTCATATGTGCCCTTGATAGTGTGACTGGGGATTCATGTATGACTGATGAAAGGGAGAATCTTAAGTCAGCCTATATCAGGTTCTTGATCAATTAGTGATATTTAATTTGATTTATAGATGTCCTGATGCCTAATAAACTTTTTCTGCATGACACATGTTTTTTTCCCCACTTGCTAGATTATTGCCACACATACACACTGGAGTTTGTCCAGATTTGATGAAAATTAAAGATCGCACCCACTGATGCGAGTCATTCAGTGTGACATGAGTAATTACTTTGTTGTGTGAGAGCCAGGCAGCTGGTACTGCTGTGTCAGAGCTGACCCTTCAGCTGGCTGACACCATGCTGGCAGCAGATGACTGTACATTCAGCTAGGTTTGACATGAAAACGGCTGCTAGATCAGTCAGAATAAACTCAAAGAAATATGAAGCATGGATAACCTTGTTTCACTGCCAGCTGAAAATGAAAATGAAAAGAGCCAGAAACATCAGTTCTCCAGTGATGATGAAAAGGAGCAAGGCCTGCAGCAGCCTGCAGATCAACAGTTTGATGAGGAACCTAAGACATTTATCCCTGAAAAAGCAAATTATATATATATATGAACTGTAAACACACTTTTTTTTTCAGCTGATACTGCAAACTTGTGAGAAAACGCCTTCTTTGTTGTATCCAGCAGATACTGAACATTGTTCACTAAACCTGCTACTTTAATTGCCAATTTGCCCTGGGCAGAAACAATAAGTGTGCTTTTTATTCAAAACAGCTGGATATTGTGAGCAATTCTGAGCAAAAAAACAAACAGTCAAAAAACCAAGTGTTCAAGCAGGATAACCAATAATGAGCTGGGAATCATGGGAATGCTTCAGTGTGAAGGGAAGCCTGGTTTCACTTATTTTAACTATTTTTTTTCTGTGAGGTCATCACTACAAATAGCCTTTCTTAATGCTTTTTGCATAAAAATATCAATTCTAGCTACTTTATGGAGCAATTTTATGTAGGGGTTATTGCATTGAAATTTTATTTTCTTAAAGGTATAAAAAGGAAAGTAGGTCGACTGACAGGATAAATTCAAGTTTAAATGAATATGCTTAGTGTTAATAAAAAAAAAAGCTGAACGTTTCAAATTCAAATCGCTATCCTTTTTTACAAGATTAAAAATATTTAGAGGATTCAAAGCATCAAGAATGATTTTGTTAATGTAAAACTTCTGAAAATAAAGAACACCTAAGTGTTTTCCTTCAGGCTATCGGTATTGTTACATGATACACATCTGTGTCACTCTACATGCTGAGAGATTCAAAAATAACAAACTAAAATGGTATGACAGTTCCCTGCCAGGAATAACATGACATTTGACCTTCATGTATCAGCTTAAAGGAATTATTAAGAGTTTGTGAAATATAAACTGCATAAATCTTCGAAAACAAAACAAACAAGCACGTCTGTGTAAGCCAACCTTCCCCCTTTTCCCCCACTCTTACAGAAACTGAACCTGACTGAGACTGAAGCCTGAAACTGAGCTCCAGAGTTGGGGCTGCAGGTGTTGGGTACCAGCCTGACACACATCAGGTCAGATGCACAGCAAACTATCAAAGTGTACCAGACACTGCTGGATGTCAAGACATGTTTGTAGCTGGTGGTAGGAGAAGGAGACACGGAGTAATCAGTTTCTGAAGGACACAAAGCCAGCTTTACCTCTTAAAACCAAGAATTTGAAATAGCTATTCATGGGACATATTATATTATGAATGTCGTATACAAACTGTAGAGTTTAGAAAAGGTTTTTACCCAAATACTTTCCCCCAGCTGTCTCTAAAATGCTTAGAGCAGGTAATTGTGTGAGATAATTTATGTAGGAGGCCTCTAGATGGCAGTCTTTGAGAGCTTATTCTGTTGTTGACGATGCTGAAAAACTAACCTTTTTAAGTAGAAGCCTGTTTATTTTAAGGGGCAATAATATCTTTTATGCAGCTGATTATAACCTGGGTGATTTTTACACAGAGGTATAGGCCCACGGTCAAACTTTAGATCATGGAAATTTCTTTTGCACGACCAGATTGACAAATATATTTCTTAAACACTGTTGGCGATTAGAATCACTGTAAAACAAAATAAACTGGAAGCTGAAATTTAATATTAAGAATGAATTATCAAAAAATATGTTAAATAGACACAGGAAATAACAGGTGGGGATTATGGAAAGGAAGCCACTCCTTTCCAAATCTTCATGTGTCTTCTTTTCTTTTTCTAAAAATAAAGTGAAAATTGATGAAAAATGTAGCCACTATATTAGTAGTGCCAGAAATGAATTCAATAATTATTATTTGTGATATAATAATGCAGAAAATGCTATTATAAAGTAAAAATGCTTCCTAAAAATGCAAATAAATAACAGTTTTTATATTTTCCCATGTTTTCCAATTTTATTTGAGTTGCTGTGTGCTTTAAAAATTTTTTTCTCAACTTCCTGTAGTGTTTGTAACTAGAACCTTGCAGTCGTTTAAATGTGATCAGCTGATATATGTCTCATAAAAAGACATGTTGACTTTGCTCCTCTCGTGCTTTTATTCACTTCCCTTGCCTCTTAACATCCGGGAAGGATTGGAACAGAAGGTTTTATCAGAAAAGTAGTCAGATTCCCTCGTGTTTAGCATCTGTTTCAGTCCTCAAATGCTGAGCCTCTTATATTTATCTACCTAGAAAAAAAAATTCTCATATCTTTTCTTCCTTGCTTAAGGGTCTAATCCTGCACTGTTCTCCAAAGATTTTGTTCACTTCAAAATACAAATCGCATAATGCACAAAAGAATGCACAAAAGAATGCATTTGATATGAAATATCTGCAGGCGCAGGTGCGTATCCAGACTAAGAGATGCTCACCACAAAAGGGTGCAAACACATACTGTACATACTAATGTAGATGCAAATACTGGAGCACACTTACACAAACACATGCAGTAAACAGTATGATGCAAATAATAAATGTGTACTTGTGTGCACAGGTATAGTAAATGCTAAGGAGAGATTGAAGAGGAAAATTTGAAAGGAATGTGCAGGCATTTGTCCTTAAGTTAATACCTAAAAAAACACCTAAAAGTTTCTTGTTAGTGTTCCCATCTGTTTATAGGGACTGTTTCGTTTCTCCAGTGTCACTCAACAGTGCTTCAGGGATTGTGCTTAAACATGCTGAGGTTATGCCTCTTTTCTATGTTTGGCTTTTATGCAAATGCAAAGGTGACAGAGTGCAGAACCTTTGATCTGAGCTTCTTTGTGGTTTGAACTGTTAATATGGCGAAACCACCATAAATCTAATGGGAAAACAGAATCAGGAAGGCAGTATTGAGATTGTAGACGGAATAAGCAGAACCTATAATAACCTCATACAAGATGTGAATTAAGAGGAGATATTGTGCCTTCTTTGTGACAAGCTCACAGGGAAATTTCCCTAAGGTTAATGACTGTCTCTTCAAAGAATTGGCTGTGCCATTACTGGAAAATAAAATCTGATGACGACATTACACAACAAGATGGTAATTTCTACCCAATTAAATAGTTCTAAGCTTTTAGTAAGTATCACAAGTTACAAAAATAGGGTCTTCACCCAAATCTCATCCAACTTGACAAGATGATAATCACAAGAAAACAGATGTAAGTTATCTCAGGTTTACTGCTTCGTAAAGATTAAGTAATGAGCTTACATTACAAGTTATTACTGCAAATTAACAGTAAATGGACTTGTTCTAAAATAGCACTTTTCTACTCTACTTGACCATTCAAAGCACTTAACATGCCTCATTCACCCAGTCATACAGTATCTATCCCAAGGATACTTGGCATGCATACTGAATGATCTTTTGGCTAACCAGTAACGCAGACTTGCGTTGCATGTTTTTAGAGATATTGAATGCTTTGATTTTACAGCAAATTTTGTAATTTAGCCGTAACATAGCTAATAGCTATTACAATTTCATAAATAATACAATTGTTTTTCAAGTGATACCAAGACTTTGAGAAGTAGAATTCAGCCATGGGGGGAGGGGACAGCCAAAAAGAAACAGGACCCTTTGTTTTTGTCTATATCAATCCCACTTCAGATTGATCCTTATGAAGCCTTTATAAATGCACAGCACATGGCGCATGTTTTGGAAATCTCATTTTTTAAACCCTTTGCATCTTCTAAACTCAGTCAACAGACAGTCATACACAAATAGCTTCAGAAAAAAGGTTTATTTTATTCCTCAGACTACAGTGTCAAGGTAAATACAGACAAGCTTTCAGCGTATTTCATTAAGCTATATGCCCTCATCCTCCGGTGAGTCATCCTTTGATTTCCATTTCTAAAGATTCCATTTTAAAACTGAATGCTATTGCAACAGAGAGAAGCTGTGATTATACAGTGTGTGCGTGTGTGTGTGTGTGTGTGATCGGGGGCTGGGAGGGTGGGGGGTGAATTTATAAACAAACTAAATTCATATCTTAAGCAGATTTACTGAAGGGTAATATCCAGGTATACAGACACATGTCAGCAACAATGCCTGCTGTATTAGAAACAGTCTACCAGGAAGAAGCAGAAGGCAGAGAATGAATTCTGCTGTCAGGAAACATGACAAAAATACTGGTATCAAGGGGCCCTTTAATATGCCTGCTGGCCCATGGGTGTAAGAAGCTTATCCCACACCTCTACCTTCATGATAGCTTTGCCTAGAGGACACATAGTGGCCCTGATATCTAGGCGGTTACCCATGTAATTGATTCCTGACCCAGTGGCTTCCTCCCTGACAAACCCATGTTCATGCTGATTCTTCTCGTAGTACATTTCTTTGTACAAATCCTTGTCACAGTTACGGCCCCTTTTATAGATGCCCACTGCAAACCAGTTCTTGTACAGGTTGTAGTCCCAGGGGACGGAGAACATGAGAGCCACAGTCTCAGCGAAGTCATTCTGTGACCTCTCGAAAAGGTCATAGGTCAGTACACCAACAGCTCCTGTTGCTTTGCTGCTGGACTTGGTGAATGTGCAAACCTCTGTCTTTAGAGGGCGCACTGTAGGTTGCGGTGGGTTGTATGCATCCCCATTCTCAAGGTATACCCTAATTAGTACACAAATAGAAAAATGCATTCAACATTTTTTTTTTTTTTGGTCTTCTATGTATTTCATATAAGCCCGAAAAGTCACAACACGGGCTGGGCTTACCTGGGGTTAATAAGGCAGTAGCTGTTAGCGAGATTTGATATTTCGATGGTCACACTTCTCTTGCTGCTCACGTCAGCAGCTACAGCTTCAGCTGTCTCTGTCATGTTGCAGTGGCTGCGAGCTCTGTTGATCTAATAAAAAATAATTTAAATGTCAACCAGCTCATACCTGTAACATGGATGTTTATTTCCTCCTAACTGCAGTGAGAATCATAGGAATAAACTGATAACAATATAGAACTCAGGTTTGACCTCGTCTCTGATGATGTACTCTAATATCATTACGCTGACCTTCAAAAGCACACATCGACTGTCACTGCGTAAAAATAGTGTATTTCACAGGCTAATGAGATTTTACAAGAGAACATAGAATTGCTGCAGTCTTTTAACAGAGTGTACCACTCCAGTGACAGTACTTTATAATTAGTACTACACAGTGATAAAGTTAGAGTGAAAATGAAAGAACATGATCCCTCATTTTATCAACAGATACATTAAAGAAATCAAACAAAAGCCTCATCAAAGTTCTATATATCTTACAAATTATAAGAGCTAGGAGAGTCATTGTTCTAAATGTATTTTCCCTAAATGAAGTGACTTACCTGCTGAGAAACGCTGTTAGTACTTGAAGTCCAAAAACAGTAAAAGTTGCTGGTTGGTTTTCCTTTTTTGTCTTTTTCTTCTTTTTCTTTTCCCCCCCCCCAAGGATGTATTAATCACTCAGAAAACCCTCCCAATTGAAGTACAACCCTGCTTAAATACAGGATAGCACACCCTCTTTCCAAACACACGACCCACACGAAAAGAAGACTATGAGAACAAATATTACTCTTTTCCCCTGTGGGATGAAACAGCCACACCCTAGCCTGTGGCTAAATTGAACAGTTTCCAACAATTTCCCATTGGATCCCAACCACTGAGGTGAGCCCTTCAAGACTATAATAACAAGACATGAATGTGTTTTGGGACTGTCATTCCTCTTGTATTGTGAAACAGTAAAAAAAAGCAGATCAAACAAGTTGGGACAGACATTTCTGGAGCGATACTTTGCTTAGTATCTTGCTGAAACTCTTGCATTCCAAATACCACACAATCAAGCAAGATGGAGAGTCTAACAGCGAAGGAAGAACAATATTGTTTTTGTAGAAATTAAAAAAACATCTTCCATCTGTTGTTGCTCATTAGAATTGGACGGATCCAGATAAGAGATTAAAAAATGATTACAGTTCATCAGTAATAATGAAAGCATATGAATGAAAACATATCCCACTCAAAGTAGCACAAGCATTGGGTCTGAATGCTTTATTACCATAATAAACGAAAATAGAGTATTCAGTGTACATGAGCCCAAGAGCTAAGCTAATGGAGAATCAATGAGGTGGCTGTCAGATATTGATATCTTTCAGCAGACACAAAATACAGATGACAGCAAAATCAGTCTTCCTCTTCTCCTAAATGTTTTTTTTTAGGATGACAAGAGTCGTCAAATCAAATGAAGTTTATTTTTCTGCGACTAGAAAAACAAGAAAACACAGAAAAGCAGAACACCAGTAGACTGCACACTAATGACCCATTTTATCATAGAGCTCCACTTTAACCATGGCTTTTCCAACAGTAGACATTGTGGCCCTCAGGTCAACATATGTTGCCTTGTACTCCAGCCCACAGCCATTTGCCTCAGAGCGGGTGAAGTTGCTGAGATCCTTCCCATCATACATCCGGTCATACAGCTGTTTGTCACAAGCACGGGATTGCTCAAACACACCCATGGCCAGCTGGTTCTTATACAGGTTGTGGTCAAAAGGCACAGAGAACATGATAGCCATGCGCTCGGAGCAAACCCGGCTCTGCATATGGAACAAATCGTAGGTTAGAATGCCGACGGCACCCGTGGCAGTGTTGTCATCCTTGGTGAAGGAGCACACTTCTGTCTTGGTGGTACGAATCGTGGGCTGGGGCGGGTGTTGACAGAAGCCACTTTTCATGTACACCCTACACATTAGAGCAAGAGATAAATCCTTACCGTCACTACTAATCAGTTAACAACTTTCATGTCACACTTCTCATACTTTTGATGAAAAAACACACTTTTGTAACTTTTGTGGAGATTGTCAATTTACTTTTTGAGTGTTGGGCTTTCCAGGGTGAAACATCTTATGCTGATGGATGGAGTGTGACTGGGAGTACTACTGTGGACTTCTAAGCAACAGTGAGTGTACCTGCATGCGATGTGCAATGAGGCAGTGTGTGTCACTGCATGATGGATAGGTGGATGTTCTCAGCAAAGTAATGTCACACATGAAAACCAGCCATCCAAAATATGGCCTGTCTTCCCACAGCTAGATAAATGTAGAAGGATGGCACAGATTCCAATAGACATGAATTGTTTATATTTATTTTGTTGCTGTGTTTTATTAATTTTTTTTCTCCTTTTTGTGGTCGGAGGGGGGGAAATCCATATTACATTGTTGAGAAATACAGTAGGTGGCTATATAAAACTAATATTTTATTAATGTTATAATAGATGGTGCACTGTATTTTGCTTGCAGTGCCATTGAGCCCTCCTTGTGAAATTTAGGTTTATGAATTATTAGAAAGAACACAAGGTGGAGATTGTGGTGACCCCCAAATTATACATGGCTGTTATGCAAAAAAAAAAAAAAAAA